AAGCGGAGATTTCAAATTAAAACCACTTACTAGTTTACCACTTCCAAAAACCCAAGAGCGATGAAAGGCATATCTAAATCAACTTTACCTGTAATTTGGGAGTCTAATAAAAAATCATGGATAACTATGGAAATTTTCCAGGATTGGTTCACTGAACATTTCTGCCCGTCTGTTAAACGTTATTGCGAAATTAAAAAACTTGAACAAAGAGCACTTCTATTAATTGATAATGCTCCAAGCCACCCAACAAATTTATCAGACTTAACAACATGCATTCCAGTCGAAGTGGTTTTCTTGCCGCCTAACACAACTGCCTTAATCCAACCAATGGACCAAGGCGTTATATCCAATTTTAAGGCTTATTACTTGCGGCGAACATTTAAGCAGATGTTTGAAAAAACAGACGGAGAAGAGAAGCAATCAATAAGAGAATTTTGGAAAAACTACAATATCATGAATGCTGTAGAAAACATAAACCTTTCTTGGAATGAGATAACAGAAAGATCTTTGAAAGGAGTATGGAAGAACATTTGGCCAGATTTAAGTAAGAGCGAAGACATTGGACACTCTGTCGATATGGATGAAATAGTGGAAGAAATAGTGAAATTAGCGAAACAAGCCGGTTTAGATGAGGTAAATAAGGAAGACGTCGAAGAAATAGTGAAATTAGCGAAACAAGCCGGTTTAGATGAGGTAAATAAGGAAAACGTCGAAGAAATAGTCCAAGAAACAGCAGCTAGTCTTTCTAATGGTGAGCTCAAGGAATTAACTGAGCAAGAAGAAAACAAAAATATTGATAGTATTGATTTCGAAGAAGAGCAAAAAGAACTTTCGATGGCGTTTGTAAAAAGGAGTTTGACCACTATAACTGAAATTATGGACCAATTTGTTGAAAATGATCCAAATTTTGACACGAGTTCAAAAGCAAGACGGGGTGTTATAGACGCTTTATCCACTTATCAACAACTTCTAACAGAATGCAAAAGGAAAACGCAAACTGCATTAGTTGCCTTCTTGACAAAAAGGCAGAAAATTGGAAACACAGAATAGACTGAATGATGTGACTGACTAAGAATTTTATTTGTTTTTATAAGTATATTCGTTTATATTGTTTTTATTTTTGAAAGAAATAAATGTTTGGTTTTATTTTTATTTAAAAAAAATATTATTAAATTTAATACCTAACCAGTTTTCTACACATCTTTCTCTAACCCCATTATTTTGTTAAGATAGCCTCGTTTAGCGCTGTTTCGCATTACGCTCTACTTTGATGGAACATATCCCCCGCGTTAAGCGGGGTCTTACTGTACGTTTAATCTGCTTGTGCTAAATATTTTTTGCTCTTGCAATCAAAAAATATGTTACAAAAGAAAATGCAATTTTAAAACCTGATTTTTTTACATTTGCGAGTAATTTAAGCAATTTTCAATTTCCTAAGCTGCCGTTTTAGTTATAAGAAATATATTTTCAAGCTCTAAACCTTCACGTTTTAAGAAAATACGACTTGCAAATTATACCTTCGCAGTTAGTATTCACATTATGAAAGAAATCTTCTTGTGTATTATGCCATTCTTGCATGCAAAGAACATCAATCATCCCTTTAAAAGGTCATATTTCAGTCCTTGCTTTTAAGCAGCTTTCATCTTTCGGAAATAGAGTAAATCTTTTAAAATATTGTAAAGTTTCATAGAGTATGCTTTAGAAAGGGCAGCAAAAATACAAAATTTAAGAACTTTTGCAATACTAATTCTTTATTGAATAACTAATAAAATAAATATTTCCAAATTTAATATTTTTTATTTCCGCAAATTTTAAGCCATACAACGACTGTACCATAGGTAATAAGCTTATAATGTATTTCTCTCACTTTCCTAGCGTGCCTTTGTGGTGTAATGGTCAGCACACTGAGCCGGTATTTCAGAGGTCCGTGGTTCGATTGGGTTCGATTCCCGCCGAAGGCGCTTGCTGATTTTTCATCTCTCCAGCTTTTGCAATTCACCTAATGTATCTACAATAGAGCCTGAACTGAAAGGGTGTTGGATGGGGATTCTCCACACCCAGAATTTGGCGATTGGGTCCCCTAAAATCCCCAGTCGCCCTTTAAAAGGAGAGTATATAAGGTATTTCTCCCACTTACTTAGCGAGCCTGCGTGGTGTGGTGGTCAGCACACTGAGCCGGTATTTCAGAGGTCCGTGGTTCGCTTCGCGGCGAAGGTTTCATCTTGCCTGCTTCCAAAAATCCTAATGGCTCTACAAGCTTTCCGTTTCTTTACTATTTGATTTGACTGAATTTGTTGTCAGTTCAAACGTATCGCAAAATTTTGATATACGTCTACATTTTAAGAAAATGTAACACCATCCCTATGTTTTTAACGAATTTCTTTCTTCGGTTAATAGCAAAAGACACTTCTGAGTTACGTGAGATTTATCTGAACAAATCAACATATTTCATTTGCTACAGCTGTTTAGGTAGCCACTGTTGGAATGCACTCTTTTGAAATGTTTCATTTCGAGTCTACATAATTTTTGAAACTTTTGACTCGTTACCTTATAATTAACCGAAATTTTATTTCGTCTCAAGTTTTTTAAATCTGATAATAAAGTAGATGCTTCTCCTATTCCTACTTCTTTTCTAAAAAATCAACTAAGTGCTCTATCCCAAATGACTCACGGGATTCGAATTGTCTATTTTAATACAAATTTAAGTCTTCTGAATTTTTTGTAATATTACCAGCAAAGTTAACTACTGCAAGTGCCTGCTGTAGCAATTAAAGCCTTTAAAAGATGGAATTTGAATTTTACTTGTACCATACATTCTTCGCAATACGCACGTCTTAAAGGATTCAATCAACAACAGTTTACTCCTGAGTGAGCTTATAATCAAATATAACCTTCCCAATCTTTATTTTAATCAACTTAATTGAGGAATCATAATTTTTATTTGTTAACGAAAATCCCGAAACTGCTGATAAGGCAGTACCTCCTAAAAATGCTTTCAAATAAGAAAACTTCACAACCATACTTAACAAATCATTATTATGAATAGCTATTTCGAAGAAATTCCAGAAACCTAACCAAGAACTAGTCGCCATAAAACTCCTTAATTTCGGAAGATTAATTACACTTACTTTCGTTTCTTACTTCGCGTTTATCAAGCCTAATATTTTCTCTCGAATTATTAACCCGAATTTCATTTTGGAAAGCCACGTTAAGAAAATTTTCTATTTGTGTGTATACATATCCTTTTTCCTTTAAACTTTCCGTTCCTGGTATTCTTCACTCTACGTAATATCGCTTTCTAACTCACATATGCCTATTATCAGCTATGCCTATTTCATTATCTAAATCGTTAAGATTCTTAATCTTTTCAATCAACTGGTTTTTCTAGTTGTTAAGATCATCCAGTTTTCTTCTTTACTCTTAATTTCATTTAAAGATTTGCTTATTGAATCTTCAATTATCTTTAAAAGGTTACAAAAAGAGCTCTCTTACACAGTTTCGTTTCTTCCATAGTATTTCAACTTTCACTCCATGCTTACATAAAATACTTCTATTTTCAAAATTAGTTTTCTAGTCAATTTAGAACTAAATATCTTTTTTTTTTTTTTTTTGTAGGAACAATTTTTTATGAATGCGGCCATTCAGTCAACTATTTTAATAGGAAGGAGCAGAAAAACAAATCGACAAGCCCTTACGGTTCCTATTTCATATTAATTAGTACATTTTAGAATAGATAGATTAATAAAGCTTCTTGAGACACATTTAAAATTTTTTCCCTCCTTCCATCATGCCTTCGTGGTGTAACGGTTAGCACACTTGGCACATATTCGAGAGGTCCAGGTCCGAGTCCCGGAAGGCACTGTACATTTTTCATGTCTCTTACTTCAAAATAAACCAATGATTCTACAGTGGGGCTCGAACTAAAAGATGGTGCATGATGATTCTTCATCACCAGGATTTGTCGTCTGTGTTACCTAATCCCCATTCGCCCTTTAAAAGGGGGTAGTATATAATGCATTGTCTCCCTCCTTCCAGCGTGCCTTCGTAATGTAGCAGTTAACACACTCGGCACGTATTCAAGAGATCCAGTTTCGAGTCACGGCGAAGACATTGCACATTTTTCATGTCTTCTACTTAAAAATAACTAATGAGTTTATACAGTAAACGCGGGGGAAATATATGTCCCAGCCCCCAGGAAAAGGATATCAAACCACCATTATAAATTCAAAACTTCCTATGACATACAAAAGCACACCTCTAAAACTAATTCTAAAGGGACATACCTCAATTCTATGGTCATGAATTAGAAACTTCGGGTAGCGTCAAACACGTTCGGAGATCGCTAACAATGTAGTGTCTTCAGTTTTCAAGTGTCGAGTCATTTATTTTTTAACAAGGTGCTTTTGATTATTTATTATAAACAATAGCAACATGATTCAAACAAATAGTTATATCCCAATGTATCTTTCTATTGCATCATTCTGTTCTGTTCTAATTATATTATCCTCCGCGCGAAAAAAACATACAGAAATTTATCCCTTTAGGGATTTTAAGTTGGAGCAAAATGGTCGAAAAAGTTTTGTATTCGTTGTTATTGATTAGTGTTGTACTATCAAAACGCGATCTAAAACTAAACAAAAAAAAAAAAAAAAAAAGATTCTATGTATTTCTAACACCAAAATAACTAATTAACTTATAATTTTTGATTAATATGACGTTAGTTACCAAAGTACGGAATGTCATTTTTTGAAAATGAAAAATGGTGCCATATGGTAATGATATATTTGTTGATAACTTTTCAAAAGTTTCACTTTTGTGAAGGCTTATAAATCAACATTGTTCTCACGAATATTTTATCCAACAGTATATATTATGCAAGTTTATGAACTTAATTTTTATTATCCTTGACAGTTTCCCTGTTACAGTTATATTCCATTTGTTCTGAAATAATTCATTTAATTGCTGGTGAACTATGTTCAAGATTTGCTTAATATTTTCAGGTGTTTTGGAATGCTGGATGTCAGATGGTTGCCCTCAATTACCAGACACTTGGTAATAAACTTCAACTTCTTTTTTTATTTTCAAACATTGCTTTTGAAAATTATTTTGTGCATTACTTTTTATTTATACTTTTATTTCGGTTTGTTAGCTGTTACAGTTGTTACTATGATAAGCTTTGGGTTAGTTGAGTAATAATTAAATAATCAAAAGACAGATATTAGAAGTGATTTTCTTAAAATAGACTATTAGAAACTTCCGAATTATTCAGCTGCTTTCAAAAGAGGCAAAGTTTGTATTACAAAGAAAGTAACCAGCTTATTCTTGGTTTATTTTAAAATTCTAACTATTTTAAGATTTACATGCAGTTTTAACAACATAATTATTTCAATAGTATAATTATTTCAGTAGTTACTTCTAATTGTATGATAATCTATCTACATAAGTGTTCTCCGTATGTAATGTTTTTGCTGCTCATCATGTGTTTAGTAAAATCATTGCAAGGTATTGCATTGCAAATATATACATTGCATTACAAATGCTTGAAGCACAAGATTAGAATCTCTGTTTGTCATTCATATTTTATGGTATATCGGTAGCTGTTTAAAACTAGGGTTTTTTTTAATTAAAAAGTGCCTTTTATCTCACTTGTAATTTGAATATGAAGAATTATCCTTAAAATAACAATTTATATGATATTTCTAGGTAGAGTTACATTAAGATTTTTCTATAATGTAAGGTCATTGTTACAAAACAAAATCCCAGTTTAGGCCTTAGTCAGAGTGAAAAGTGTTTTATACTGCAAAATTGAAATAATGATTTCACATTTCTTAAACTTATGTATCTCTCTTTTTAACTTTCAACTCGCTAATTGATTTCTAAAAAATCGTAGCTTTTTTAAATATAATGTTTGTAACTTTCCTGAAAACTGTTATTAATTTTGTAGGTGTTTGTCTATATTCAGTTTGCATGCAATAAATTCGATTTCTCGTGTTAGACAACAAATAAGTGACCTTCTAATCCTATATTAATGAAAGTTTCTAAAATTATAGAAAAATTAATATTGTTGCCTCTAGCATTACAATCTCTTGTTTTTTAGAAATTCAAAATGGCTTATAAATAAATTCTTTGGAGGAAAGATTGTTCAAACTGCTTTCAAATATGAGATACAAATTAGTTTAGGTAATACCGTAATAGCCTTTTTAAAATTTACTTAATGCTGCCACTGTATTTTGAATTGGTTCCATCAGTATTTACGCGCTTATTGAGCAAATACCTTTTAATAAAATATAGACTGTTTTCTAATATTTTTCTAAATTAAAAATCTTATTTTATTTTTCTCAAAATATAAACAAAATTATTCATTCTAAATTTTATGTGCATTTAAAGCATGAGGCTTTCTTTTATTTTTCACTCTACTGGAAATTTTTTTTAGTCCAGATTTGCAGGTTATCTAACTTTCTAACTTCTTTTTATATTTTACTCCTTTATACTATGTCACAAATTTTAACAACATTTTAAAGCAAATAAAACATAAAAGAAATATATTTGTGAATCTTATTTCGTTAGAAATAAGCAAATCACAAATCTTCCGAACAGAATTCTGATCATATTTTAATTGATTTACAGCGAATCCTCACACGTATTTACCTTCATTTATTAAACAAATATTTATTTCATTTCAAAGAGTCTAAAGAGCTAATATCCCTTGGAGGTAGTGAGGTAAACTTTGAGACTTCTCAGTATTCTTGTTCACTGTCGATTGAATCTGAAGATGTGCTGAGATATGAATATAAGTACAAGGAAGGAAGTTTTATAAAATTCGAAATTCAAAATTCGGGCTTCCATGTTCACATGTTAGGGTAGAGGACTCTATTATTCAAAATTTGATGGTCGTAGGAACCATCGTTTTTTCACAGAAACATGCATACATTCAGGCAGATTCTTCACTATTTAATTTCTTTAAAAGAAACACACGACGATAATATTTCGTGGCAATAATTTAAAAAGTGACTAAGACATTCAAAATGATACGCAGCCAAATAATGTTTTGAAATTAATAGCCCATTTGAGCTAGCACCCTTTTGGCTAATAATTTGAATATCAAAAAAGATATATAACGCTATATGTTAGGCGAAATTTATTCTTGGATAAGACATGTAAAATTAGTCTATAACGTTCCTCATCACTTTGTTTATGCCGAACAAATGCAACCTATTGAACTGCGTAGCTACTTATCGCTGCTCTGAGTATTTAACGACAAAGTCTAGAGAAGGGTTAAAATACCCAATTTTTCACTCAAAAAATATTTACAGACCACACCTTCTGTGGCGTACAGGAAAGCGTCCCAGAAAAACAAGAAACTAATCGAATACTAAACTAAAGTAACTTAGCCGAAGCTATACACAAGTAACCAACGTAGTTGACGATGAATTAAATTAGCCATTGATTATCAACAGGCACGTAATACAATACGGCTGAGAGTAGTAGGTTTAATAACGAAATAGCTTGACGGCAAACACGCGCCGCTTCGGGCTCCTAAGTTCTACTCCTGAAGTAATCTGAACCTGTCCTAAATACTCCTTCTACCTCATTTACATCGATCATGATTCTAAAACCTAATTCTGGTAGGGAATTGTAAGTGGGAAACAATAAATGAAAGGAAAGGGTTTAAAATTTAAAGTAACTGTTATAAAACTAAAATACATTTCACAAGTCGTATACTGTTAACTGGGCTTAACATATTTCAGTTAAACACATTTCTTAAATGTTTGCGAAAATTGCTACGGAATCACACCGCTAGCATTACTGATGATGATTAAAAAAAACTGAGGGTTTTTTTAACGTTTTGTCTGTTAGCTTTATTTATTAAATATCATGCTCTTCGCACTTAAACCGCATAAAATTTTATTCGACAGCAATATCACGAAAAACGAAACCTCGCGCATAAAATATCCGTGCTTGAAGAGGCACGCGATGTTAGTATTAATGGAACACATTAAAATCATTGATTTTTGAATCTAAAATTCGTTAAAGTTTTACAAAATTTGAAGCAGTTTATAAAACAAATTCCAAATTTGGGCTTCCAGATGCCCATATGCGAGTGGAGGACTACCTTATTCAAATATTAATGACTCTAGGTATCGTTGTTTTATCACAGTGCGAGAAACATACATATATTCATGCAGATTCTTCATTATTTAATTTCTCTAAATATAATGCAGAGCTGTAACATTTGGTGGTAACCATTTGAAAATTAATTCAGACTTTTATACTGAACCAACGCAAAATACCAAAACGAAATTAATAGTCATCCTGGGCTAACGCTCCTTTGGGCTTAAAAGTTTGGAACGAAAATACTGCGCATGCTTTAACCAAGGAATGCATTTTAAGGCAAGATATTTTATTTTTAATAAATTCGCCGTATTCCTCATTTTTTTTCGCGTGAAAAGAAAGCAGTTTTCTTAGAAATCGCCATGTTACTGCAAACTGTTTTGATGGGTATTCTGAGATTTTTACTTTCTTGAATGATGGATTAACAGTGTTAAGAGAGTAACCTTTTATGATTAGAATGATTGAGGGCTATGTATCCTAGGAAACATGCCTAAATTTTAAATTGTTCTGCGAAAGAAATTCGTGTTTGTTTTACATATACGGTACAGTCAATCTATTATGGCATCGGGAATTCACTTTTTGTTGAAAAAAAATGTTTTCAGGGTTTTTTCATTCGGTCACTGATGTACTTGGTAAAGGGACTGTAGAATTTTATCTCTGTTCGATATTCTTCATTTAAATTTTAGTTCATTTTCTCCTCCGATTATTCAAAAAGATTTTGCAATACCGAATTTTTAATTATTTGCTCCTTTAAAATAAAATTTCAATAAAGCATGCATTTTCTGCATTTAAAACAGTCATTTTCTTCTATTAATAGTACTGATTTTTTCTTGAAAATGTTATTAAATATTATTTTTCATATTTTTACACAATAAGACATGTTCTTAATCTTCAACTCTCTGCAGATCTAGGAATGCAGCTCAACTTGGGTATATTCGAATACAACGGGCGATGCGGGTACCTATTGAAACCAGATTTCATGCGAAGAACTGACAGGAAGTTCGATCCTTTTATCGAATCTACAGTGGACGGGATCATTGCTGGAACCGTCAGTGTTAAGGTGACTATATAGCATATGTTCTTTTACATAATAAGATGTGATACCTCTTCGCTAGCTGATAAATACAAATTTTTAAATATCCGATTTAAATGATGAAATATGCTTTTAAATGAACTTTTCACAAATGTTGTTCACATAACTAAAAGTTTCTGAACAAGAAGCTTGGAAAATTAACTGTACCTTTGTTGGGTATTAAATCCTGGTTCCCCCATTTCTATGCAAGTCCACTGTGACCTTACCAGAATTTAAACCGCTATCTTCTAGTTGGCTTCTATTTAATGAAAAGGTGCCGCTGGTAACCAAAGCGACATAACAATCCAGACATTCTTTTTGCCATTGAAAAAGCAACCGGAATATCAGGAAACTACTATCAGGAACAACACCCTTCGTTTGACATCTATATTTGATCTCGCAAGGAAAAGGCGAATATACACCTGCATTCTTACCCCAGTTCCCACTTATGCTTCCCTAGCCTGGTGCGCTGATTTTATTAAACTACTAACTTTCCAGAACAATTTCATTTGAAAAATTACATGGGCCCCATGGTTCATACATGAACATGCATCAGATTAATACATCTGACCTACATAAAATCTAAAAATTCGAGGATATTAAAACATTCATCGGAGACTCAATAACAACTTCTTTAATAAGGCAACCACTAAAGACACAAGTTAATTACGTAATATTAAATATGATCTACTAAAGGTAGATTTGACTGCGTCCCTATCCAACACATATTTTCACATATGATATTGAACTATTTTGTCTCTCATTTTAATAATTATCTCAATTTTCCCTTCCTTCCTGTTTTCAAGCAGCACTAGCACCGATCAGTACTTGGAAGGGTGATCACTCACCTGACTGACGCCAGCCAATCGCTATATCACACCCTCTCTCTCCCGGATTCCTTAGCTCCTGCCCATGCGGCTTCATCCATCTAATATACTCACATCACTTCACATAGTGCTTCCCATCGCACATTTATCAGGTTAGGATCGGAAATATTACTATACACAATCATTTCCCACACCAGTGACCACAGCTGAGGTTACCTATGTGAGGTTTCCAATAATCGGGATATTTGAAGTGCCTGCAATAGAGGGATAAACTTCCTGCTGACGCACACCTATCCAACAGTATAAAAGTGTGCTTCTAGGCAGATTCGGATTATTTCTACTTAATTCTGAATTTGCCATCAATTGATTTGAATGTTTCTGGCTAGGTAGAAATTTCCCAGAACCTTGACCGATATTTGAGAGACGGAGGCTTTCATAATCATGAAAATACTATTCATTGAAATATTTCATTATAGCAAAGTTAGAAAATTATTTGTTTAAGTCAAATAGATTAGAATCACTGATATTTTTCCTCTTGAGATCTATTGTTGAAGTGATACAAGAATTAATGAAAAATAGCTACAAAAAGTTTGTTTTAATTAAATACAGAAGTAAATTATCAGTATAGCTGAAAATCCTGAATTGGAAGGAAATATGTATATTTTAATTGAAATGGCTTGGTGGCCATGTTTCGTCTATTATAAGATGTGGCAATTAATCCCATTTTGTTTGTTTAATCGATAATGGCAAAACACTTGAATTCAGATCTTGCAAAGAATTTTTATTTATTGCCCCAGTGAACTCAAAAAATAATTACGAAGAAGCACCTTTAACCGTGGAAGTAAGAGAAAGTCACACGGTACCTTATTAAAGAATACAGAATTTGAGGAGTCGTCGTTGTTAAGTTTTTTATCAAAAATCTACAAACAGCAAGAGAAGAAAGAGTAAATGCATTGTAATGGCGTAAAATCCATGCTTTATTTAACCACAATTGAGATCATTTCCTGCGAATTGCTTCATGAAAATGTCGCGAAACCTTCACAATATATTCGCCATTAAATTTCTGTACCATGGTATTCTAATAAATTTGTACGTAGGTTTAAATTTTAGCCATCAGTTAAAGTTGAATAAATATGCATATTGGAATATGCATACTTGGCATTACTGCAAAGTCATTTTAAGCATACATTTCTAACTTAGAATTTTTACAACTCCATAATTTTAGGTACAGACTGAAGCTTAGACCGTTACCTGCACATTCCGTATATTAGGTGTCGCCGGAATTCGATGACTGCTAGCTTCCGTCCCAATTTTGTAACTTCGGGGGTAGTACGAAGATCTCTTACTTCTCTTCCCTAATCCCCCAAACTCTAAACACGACTTTCGGCTGGCAGTGTATTTTGAGTGCTCCATTACGCACAAACATTTTGCACGTAGAAACATTCATGTCATCTTCGGAAATCCAGGGCACTCGATACGCTAGTCAGCATCAGTAACCGCTGTACCGACGGGGCGTCACTTCATGATAGTTAAAAATAGTTTTTTTATTGGTTAGCCAAAGGAGAGCTTATACATATTTTTTCTTTTTGCTTATTACGTGCTCCGCCCTTAGGCACGACACGGAAACGGAGGGTTGCCCCGTGGAGGTCTTTTTAAGGGAAACTGGCTCGTATCCATGTTACACATGGGGAAAACCACGAAAACGCCCATGCAGCCAGCCCGTTCGCCGAGACTCGAACCCCAGATCGCACTACCAGTTTTCAGTGGCTTTAACCGCTCATTTTAGATATTGTTAGTGAATTTATAGATATTGTTAGTGAAAATTCTGAATGTTGATATTTAAATCTTATAGCTGTTCTTATAGCCAGTTCAGAATGCTGTAGTTTAAAATATTTGCATAAGCTGTTTAAATTTTATCAGTTCATTTCTATTTTTAAAAGTTTCTGAATATATTCTATTGACTACGCAGCATATATTGATACGAGCTTTCCTTTTTATTTTGTTCCACGTTCTAACGTTTTTTTAACGCATATATAAGCAAAAAATTGTGCCATTTCCAACTTGCTTTCTTATATTTCCTAGCAATTCTGAAAATGTTTTTTGAAAAAAAGTTATTTCACAGATTTTAAATTAACTTGCTTTCAAATCGAAGAAAATGACACGTTTTGTAGAAAAAGGTTTTAAAGTGATCTTTAAATTTCACAGCGACACTGAAAAAAGCTGTCAGAAATTTTAACATCATTTTTTAAAAAAGTTTCAGATGTTTAAAATTTCGAGAAAAATCACGTTTTTACTTCTATGACTGCATGTGCTTTTTTCATAAAGCATTTAACGACTAAAATTAGAAGTACTCCTTAACTGAATTTTGATGTTCAACGCATGCGACGTCACGTTTTATTCTATGTGACTGAAGAAAATTTTATAAGAAAAATTAGGGAAATTCTGCTGAGTGGTTTTGCTTTTAAAAGGAAACAAAAAGTATTATAATTGCAATGTAGCTTTAGTACAAATAGTGTAAATATTTTACTTTTAAAATCAAAGCAGTTATTTGTACTATAGCTTTCAAAGAAATTCAGAATAAAAAAAAAAGGAGAGTTGACATTTGCGGACAGTTCTCCATTCTAAAAGTAATGACGCTCATAATTGAAAAAAAGAATTCGGAAGAAAGGATTTTTTTTTCATAATTCATTTACGGCGATTCAAAAGCCCTGAATGCCTATTTTATTTTTTTTTTAATTTTAAGTTCTGCCATTATGTGTTTGAGGCTTTTAGACTGCATAAATTTATTTTTGTTTCCATTTTGTAGTTTCTCGGCATTTAAAAGAAATAAGCAATGGCCAAGTCTGTTTGATAAAAATATTTATTAACACTCTTATTAATTATTCACTTTTTAAGCCAGAGGGTTGGTTTCATAGCCGCGCCTCATTAACTCGCTTTTAGCATATATTAGTAAACTTCTTAAACAGAAAACAGTTTTACTAAACATGTTTATATTTCATTCAAAAGAATGAAAAACAGTCATTTCTGTGAGGTTTCCTAGATATTACTTTAATGAAATGTTAAGAAACTAGCCTTTAATGTCTCTACAAGTGATCTACTAAAATTACTAGTCTTAACAAATTTCCATTCTGCATTTTAAGCAAAATGATGACTTAAATCATCCACTCACTTTCCCCTAAATAATATGTAACATTAACTTGGACGTTTCACTTCATAGTCTCTAAATCAAAAAAATTTTTAAAATTATACTTTTCAATCCATCGTATATAGAAATATGGTACTCGGTTTCCAAAGCAACGTAAGGCTTATAGATATAAGATCATTCAAACAACGCTGGCGATGTTCCTTTTGAGATTTCGACACACTTAAACACGATCAGTAGAGTGGAACTTAAGATTCCAAACACCTCACTTCAGGATCAAATTATTTGAGGAAACTACATCCCGGATGACAAAAGGTCATGGAAACACACACATCGCCAAGCTACGATTTACAAAAGTATTGTTATAAGGTTATTTCTCCCATCTTCATGGCGAACCTTCGTGGTGTAGTGGTGTGCACGCTCAGCGCGTAAGTGAAAGGTCTGTGTTTCTATTCCCGGCGAAGGCGATAAAAATTTTTCATTTCTTTTGTTTCCAAAAAAATCCTAATATCTCTACAGTGGCGCCCGAACTAAAAGGATGATGATTATCCTCACCCAGGATTTGGCGATTGGGTCCCCTAAGAAACCCCAATTGCCCTTTAGAAAGGGGGAGTGTATAAGATATTTCTCCCACCTTCTTGACGAGCCTTTGTGGTGTAGTGATCTGCACGCTCAGCGCGTTATTAAGAGATCTGCGGTTCGATTCCCTGCGAAGGCGTTGCATATTTTTCATCCTGTCTGCTTCCAAAAAGATATATAATGTCTCTACATTATAAGGTAACGTATGCCACATAATAAACACTCAAGTGTTTCTGGAAACCTCATTTTAACATTTTCTATTGTATAACTCTCATTAATAAAGGCAGACAGTAATAGGGATAACTTAACAGCAATAATTAATAAAGGCACAAATTCGCCTTGGAAGAAGTTGTGATCCTATTATGTTGCAGGTAGCGATTTGTAAGTCTTTTACATTGGATATTTTTCGTCATCTGTGCTTTCATGTCTCCAGACAAAAT